ACCAGCCGAGATGGAGCACAGCAGCACCGAGCCGAGGGGATGGATGGGCCAGAGGGGTGCTGTGGGATGGCTTCTGGAAGGAGGCTCCTGGAGACGAGGGCAGGGAAAGGTCCCGGTGTGTCTGCAGCAGAGCTGGGAGCGTGGCACAGCCCCTGTGAATAAATGTGCCTGCTCTCAGTGCAGCCAGCAGCAGCCAGGGGAAGGGGCTTGCCGCGATTCCCAGCAGGAAAGCAGGTTTGTTAGGGGATGAAAGCAGCAAAATGGCTCAGCCCCCACTGCCAGAGCCACTCGCTGTGGGCACCCAGAGCCCCGTCCCACCTGGCCTTGAATGCTTCCCGGGATATCTGTCACCTCTCTGGGCAACCCGGGCCAACCTCATCAGACAGCTTGCCATCCTCATTATAACTTACCCCAATAAATTGACCATCCTCACCATAAAGGGCTTCTTCCTTCTATCCAGCCCAGCTTTCACCTGGTCAGCCCATCTCAGGATTTCTCACTGTGTCCCTGGCTGTCCAGCAGTTCAGCAGATTAGATCCAACCTGAGGTCAATCTGGCCTAAAAAGAGGCTGCAGATCACAAGAAGAGAAAGTAAAACATAAATTAAGGAGCAGAAAGAGACATATCTGTTAACCTACAGTGAGAGCCACTGACAAAGGAATTTGTCACTCAGCACCACTGTGGGCTGTTCCCATGTGAGCTGGTCTCAGGGCCTGACACTTCTGCATACACCGGAGCCCAAAAAGGCTAAAGGAGAAATTTTACACAGAAATGCTTTAAAACAGAATGAAATTACCAGTCAGAAACTGAATGCAAAGAGTGGAAACAGTGTAAACATACTTAGCTCTGTTGTTGCTCTAAAGAACTAAACAGGGCAAGGCTGGTGGACAGCAGTAATATCTTTTAGTGGAATTGGTGTAAAAAAAGACATTATTTTTCTTCACAAACCTTGCCTCGGGGCAGCCATCATCCTTACTGCTTCAGCCTCATGGAAATGTGAAGAGTCAGTGGGGTCATTTCTCTGTACCAGGCATGTCAGAGTGAACAATCAACATTGCTTTTTAACAGAAATAAAGAGCAGAAGGCCAAGAGGCCAGTTTTCATCAAAACACAGAAACCTTCTGAGGGATGTCTTGTTCTGCTGGTCCATACTGCAAAACCTTCAGAGATTGGAGTGAGATAAAAGCCAGTATCACTGCTTAAATAAATATTTGTTCTGTATTAGCTGTATACACAGAGCTACATTATCAGTGAGTTTATGGGAGTGACAGCGCAGCACCATGGAAGGAATGAAAGGACAGATCTAGGCATCTAGAACAGAAATTATTTTAGTTTAGTTATTTTCATCAAGGATCAGTGACAGGAAAAACAAGAACACAGGGTCCAGTGCTGGTGACGATACTTTAAATAAGATACTTGAAAAATGGAAAATATTACAGAAAGGAGAGTCAAAACTATCTCAAGGATGGGGAACAAAAGTCTTCTGTGTACTTTATCAGGCATTAAGTGGTTAAAACCACTATGGTTTATCACAAGAAAAATGGAGAAAGGAAATTCTCTTCAGCAAAGAGACAAAAAACAAGCAGAAGATGACCAGAAGCTTAGGAAGACGATAAAGAGAAATGGAATCCAGTTTTAGGATGGTGGAAGTGACTTAAGAAACCACCTTGGTGTGGTTTACGAGAACTACCTTCAAACAGTGATGATTTTTGGGAGATGCAGTTTTAATTTAGCACAAACCACTGTCTCCCTCTGGAAAGGAGCCCCAGTAGAACAAAACGGCCTGTGCATGCAGGAAACGTGGAGTGATCATGAAAGAGCCATCTGCTGCATTAGAAATTCCTGAATGGATTCCCACCCGGCAGTGGGCGAGCTGTGACACTCCGGGGGCCGCTCCAGCCCCGCCAGGAGGGGCGGCAGCTCCGTGCTGGCTGGATTTAGGGAGCCCAGGAGCTCCAGGGGTCACGGCGCTTCTCTTGGCAACAGCAGAGCGACGTTCCGTGTGCCAGGGGAGACTTCCGAGTGAGCTCCAAATACGGTGACAAAGGCCCTGCGGAGGAAGGAGGAGCAGCTGCTGCTCTGGTTCTGCAGCACAGGCAGGGGCACAGACACTCACAGAGACAGACAGCGAGGGACCTTGGGGACACGTGGTGGCCCTGGCAGTGCTGGGGAATGGTTGGACTTTAGGGTGTGAGGGCTTTTCCATCCCCAATGGTTCTGCGGTTCCATGGCCCTGCTGCTCCCCATGGCAGCTGGGGCCGTGCTGGGGCACGGAGCACAGCCAGGCCTCCTCTGCACAGTGACCTGTGTCTCGGAAAAGGCTTGGAGCCTGGATTTGGGAAGCAAAGTGGTGCCAGGCGGGCTGGCAGGCAGCGGGTGCCCTCTGGAAATGACAGCTCTCCCTGCCCCGCAGCCCACGCTGCAGCCCCTGGGGCACAGCTTTTCCTCTGCTGTCACTAATTACAGCCCAGCTCCCCTGGCAGCCCTGCTTGCACAACAAAGCGTGTTTCAGCAAGGCCCCAGCTGCTCATTAGGTGATCCTGGGGAATATCCTCCGCCGGCCCGGAGTGACACGGGTTTACAGCAGAAGTGATTTATGCAGTTTGGGTACGAAGCCAGGCGTTTTTAAATGCCTCCAATTTGGGCTATTTTTAGCCTGGCACAAAGGCATGACCTTGCAGGTTATTTTCGCAATCTCTTTTGTTTATAGGTGCATTATTCAGAAATGTTTCAAACCTGCCACGGTCATGCTGACAGGAGGGGAGGGGGAAAGCAGCTGAATGTGCTCCTCATGACAGGCCTCAAAATCATAATTAGCAGAGGGGGTTTTGATTAAGTAGCTTTACATATCTGATACTGTTACTATAGTGACTCTGCTTCTTTTAACTGCACCGTGCTCCTTTGTACATCAAACTATTTAAATCGTGTTCGGTGCCGGTGGCAGAGAATTAAAATTCTTACTTAATAAAAGTTCTTGTTAAAATAAAAATTTCTCTTTTTAACTGAAAGCGGGGAGCATGAGATGGGATATTGGGCAGGAATTGCTGGCTGGCAGGGTGGGCAGGCCCTGGCACAGGGTGCCCAGAGCAGCTGTGGCTGCCCCTGGATCCCTGGCAGTGCCCAAGGCCAGGCTGGATGGGGCTTGGAGCAGCCTGGGACAGTGGAAGGTGTCCCTGCCCATGGATGATTTAAGGTCCTTTCCAACCCAAACCATTCCAGGATTCTGTGATTAACAGTCTCAAGATCTACAGCACTGGAAAATATCTGAGTTTGGGCTGGAGAGGAGGCAGACAAAGCTGGGACGGGCTGAGCTGTCATGTTTAATACCCCTGTACTTTCCCTCTTTAAACTCTGTGGAGGCTGAGCTGGGATGGGTATCACTTCCACTGAGGTGAGACCTTTGCGAGGACAAACAGCCAAGTGTTATTGTGAAAAGTGATGGTTTTGCTCTTTTCTTCTGCAGTTCCAGTGCTGACCTGCAGTATTAGCTGCCTCGATGACTTCTGCCAAGCCTTCCGTTTGAGTCCAAGGGTATCCCAGCCCTCCCGGCTCCGTGAGGCAGCAGACCAGCAAGGGCTTACCTCAGCACTGTGACCCTGCATGTTTTGAGGAGCCCTATTCCATGCAGGGCATCCAGCACGGTGGCCCTGGCCAGTGGGAGCAGCTTCCACATTGCCACAAGGAACTCTGTGTGGAGTGACCCCATTTCCCTGCCTCCGCTCTCTGCTCCTTCCTTCTGCTTCGCCTTTCCCCCTCAGCCTCCTCCACAGCGGGATGCCTCTGTGGAGCCACGGTCCTCACCGTCCTGGGTGCCACACGGCAGTCACAGACTTGTCCCCTCACAGACCTGTGCCCTCATGGACCCCAGCTCCTCACAGCCCTGTCCCCTCACAGCCCTGTGCCCTCACGGACCCCGTTCCCTCACAGATCCAGACTCCTCACGGACCCCAGCTCCTCACAGCCCCATTCCCTCAGGGACCCAGACTCCTCATGGACCCCAGCTCCTCACAGCCCTGTGCCCTTATGGACCCCAGCTCCTCACAGCCCTGTTCCGTCACGGACCCAGGCTCCTCACGGACCCCAGCTCCTCACAGCCCTGTTCCGTCACGGACCCAGGCTCCTCACGGACCCCAGCTCCTCACAGCCCCCTTCCCTCATGGACCCCAGCTCCTCACAGCCCTGTGCCCTTATGGACCCCAGCTCCTCACAGCCCTGTTCCGTCACGGACCCAGGCTCCTCACGGACCCCAGCTCCTCACAGCCCCCTTCCCTCATGGACCCCAGCTCCTCACAGCCCCGTTCCCTCACAGATCCAGACTCCTCACAGCCCCATTCCCTCACAGACCCAGACTCCTCACAGACCCCAGCTCCTCACAGCCCTGTGCCCTCACGGACCCCAGCTCCTCACAGCCCCGTTCCCTCACGGACCCCAGCTCCTCACAGCCCTGTGCCTTCATGGACCCCAGCTCCTCACAGCCCCCTTCCCTCACGGACCCAGACTCCTCACGGACCCCAGCTCCTCACAGCCCTGTGCCCTCACGGACCCCAGCTCCTCACGTTCCCCATTCCCACTGCCGTTGCCACTGTCATTCCCATCCCCTCCCGTTCTTCTCTATCCCCTCCCATTCTCCATTCCCATTCCTCATTTCCTTACATTCCTCATTCCCATCCCCTCACATTCCCCATTACCATTCCCATCCCCATCCCCTCACGTTCCCCATTCCCATCCCCATTCCCATACGTTTCCCATTCCCGTCCCCTCACGTTCCCCTCACGTTCCCCGTCCCCTCACGCCCCCATCCCCAGTCTCGCCCCGCCCCTCCGCGCCGATTGGCTGTCTCGCCAGTCCAATTAACCTGTGACAGATCCCACCCCGCCGCGCCTGTCCCGCTTTCCCCTCTGCGGGGGCGGGATAAAACGTTCATTGGCCAAACGCCACCACAGCCGGCGAGCTTCCTTGCCTTCTATTGGCTACGCCAGTTATCAGTCACGGCAAACACCCGCCTCCCGGGGTGTCCCTCCCGGGCGCCTCGGTGTTGGCTCCATTCAGTGGCGGGTTTTGCGGTGGACGCAGCTCTGACGGGCGGGCGCTGCTCTCGCTCAGTAGGAACAGGTCGTCGGCCGGCATCGCTCAGCGGGTAGCAGCCGCAGGAGGAGGTAGATCCCGTTCTGGTAACAATTATACAACTGCGGCGGCACACCACAGGCCTCTCTCTCTCTTTATAAACCCGTGTTTGCGGGGCGTTCTGAGGGGCTGGAGGCCGCCCGGGCGCGGGGAGGGGATGGAGCCCGCCCGGGATGCTCCGTGTCCCCGGTCCGGCCCCGCGGGGGGTAGTACCGAAGCAGCAGCACGGCGGTGCGAGGCCCCGAGGCTCGGCCTGCGGCGGAGGCAGCGCTGGGCCCTGCGGCAGGTGCGGAGGGGCCGCGGGAAGCAGCCCCGGCTGTGCCCGTGCGTGTTTACCCCTGTCAGAACGGTGACAAATGGAGCTGCCGGGAGCTGCCCGAGGCCGCGGGGAGCGCCCACCCAGCGGGCCCAGCCGCTCCCGCCGCCCCCCCGCGCCGGGCCCGACCTGCCCTGAACTTCCCCGTGGCCCTGGAGAGTGAAAGTTGGGAAGGAGCGGAGCAGCTGGCGCGGCCTTGGAGCAGGAAGCGCCGGCCGGTCCTTCGGAGCTGCTGTTTGGGTTTGGCCTCCTGGCTGCTCGTTCGGCGAAGCGGCGGGGGCTGGCTCCACGCTCTAAAATGTACTGACTAAGGGGTGGTGTCTGAGCAGCCCGGGGTGTTGTGTCATGGCAAGAATCTCATAACTAACAGGAGAAAAACCAAACCGAACTTACAGCACGCTGATAAAGGGTTGGTGAAAAAGGACAGACTTGCAGCCAAGCAAAATCAAAACCACCAAATGTCGATTGTTTGGTGTCTTTGTGTTGGTAATTCCAAAAAGTAGTGAGCATCAAAGGGAGGTGTTCTATGTACCTGTGATTTACATGTGGGCAAATGAAGAGCTGGGCAGAATGTGCAGCTCTGCAGGTGGCCCGTGTGTGTGCAGCCAGCAGTGTCTAATGCCTTATTAGAAGCTATAACATCTGTAGAAATTTAACCTGAGCCTGCGTTTTAGAAGAAACTGTGTGTTACAGTCGCAGGAGGGAAGTTCTGATAGTCCTGCGCGGTGGCTTGTGAGTCAGCAGCTTGAGTGCAGGCAAGGTTTGGAGCTTTTTGCTCTGCAAACTAAGGCAGAAGCTGTTAAAGTGCGTGGTAGCACGCTGTGGTTGAGTGAGTGCTAATTGAATGCTCATCTTTACGAGTGGTGCCAGCACCTTCCCTGCAGCTGGAGCAGCACTGGTAGCTCGTGGTGCATGGGTGGGCTCTCAGGTTCTTCTGTAATTTAGGTGGGGTATTTATTTTTGAAGCCCTGGCCAGCACACGCTGAGGTTTGTAAGAGGTTGGCAGGCGTGCACTTCACCTGCAGTGAGCTGCCAGCAGCTCGGCTTCTCTGCTCAGTGCTCAGCTGCTTTCCCAGGAAGAACTCCGTTTGTACGTGCAGCAGTTGTTGGCAACATCCTTGTCCACCCCTCAACCTGTATCCAAAAACAAAATCTGTGTTTCTGAGTTGAACAGCTCCAGCACAGGGGTGTGCCAGTTCTGCAGAGCTTGGGTACCTTTCTGCTATTCCTGGAGTACTCCCAAGGGCTTTTAGGATGAGGTCTTTGTCCTTACCTTTACCCCCAGTGGCCCTCCTAGTTACACAAATTAAAATAAATCGTGTCAGACCTGGCCAAAAATACTGCTGCTGCAGTTTCCACAGTAAAAGATAATGGACTTGCTGGTGCTTAACAATCAGAATATTTAGGTCAGTAAATGTATAAAAATACATCTCTCTGATGTTGTCTGGTAAGAGCTGCTACCAACCAAGACCCCAATACCAAACAATTCAGCCATATTTTCTGCTCGTGCTGCAAGAAGTCTGATAGTACTGTAAATTACAGAAAGTGAGAAATACTCTGTTCAGGAAGTGTTCTGAATCATTCTCATCCGAGCTCACCTAAGTGTGCTTTGTTTAGTGAATGTTTCCAGCCTCAAGTGGTGAGCTTGCTCAGTCTGCCTGGGTGCTCCACACCTAACTTTTCTTCCTGTTGGACAGGCTGCCTCAGAATAAAAGGGAAGAAAAGCAATTCCAATATGCTAAATATCTGCTTCCAAAATAACCCGCCTGCCTCTGCCAAACACTTCATTAGTAATTTCTGCCCATGACTGTTCCTTTTAATCTGCAGATCTCAAGGTGCCTTAGAAACGTCCTTTAAAGGGGTGGCCCAGGACTTTGCTGGAGGGGACCTGAAATAGTTTTGCAAGTGTTTCCTGCTGCCTTTCCTCAGCAGTAGCACCTGGTCAGCTCAGGGAGCCAGAGGTGCCGAGCTGCTGAGCAGAACCACGCGCCCCCTCCTCAGCCCTCTGCTCCCTCCTCCTGGGATGCTCCTGTTCTGGAAAAAAAGTGACTCCTTGTCCTGCTGAAGGGCGGTGGGTGCAGGGGGAGCTGCTTTCTTTAGGTGGAAGTCTCGTGGGGAGACACACTTATAGCCTGTGCTCGCCTAATGTAATAATTTTAGACTACTTTATCATTACTGAAGTGATGAAGCCAGCTAGTGTGTGCCTGGTTTGTGTCATGCTTGGGTGGGTCAGGCTGGGCTGGTTATTACTGTAAAAAAAAAAGATGATAGAGTGTGGTGCATCCACTCCAGACCTGGGGTGGTGCAGGCTGTGGGGCAGAGGAGACAATGTCTGTTGGGTTAGAAAGGGTTGAGGCCTTAAAGATTGGAAATTCTGTGGGGCCTCCATGGCCTTGGATTAATGATTTCAGCTTGTCAATACAAAAAAGCTCCTCAGCACAAATCAGTTTCTATACAGGAAAGAAAGGCTGGAACAAATCACTGGCACAGGGTTTCAGGAGTGCTGGAAATGCATTTGTGTTTCCCCATCCTTCAGGCTGAAGGCAGGCTGCAGAGTCATCCTCCCCGAGCTGCTGTGCAGGGACAGACACTCCTTGGCACTGAGGGGAGACCCACAGGTCAGGCAGCCTGGGCACTAATTGAAGCTGGCCTTGCTTTAATTGACTCTGAGCTTCCCGACTCTCTGGCCAACCTAATTCTGCCTTTTAAGAGTGTGATGAACCTTTCCCTTAAAAGTAGGTTTTGCCATTTAACAAATCCATAATTGGAGCAGCAGAACATTTGCTCCCAGATAAGGGCGCTTGTGCATATTGGTAATTAGTTTGACCTGGGCAGATGCCTCCTGATAAGGCACAGCAGGGAGCTGTCCTCTGGTGTGCTGATGGATTTAATCCCCTTAATTTGTGACACAGCAACTCAAAAATTCCCAGCTGTGCTGGACTCAGTCTAGAGGTGCTCCACAGTCTGGAGTAGTTTTCACCATTGTCAGGCACTGACAGAGTGAGAGCAGAGATCCTGGTTATGCTGACACAGGTTTGGGTAGGAATTTATTCCTCATTCAGTTCCGCTGTTTTCCTCCTAATTCCTCCTCACAGGACGCTGCACAGGCTCCGTCCTCGGTGTGTTTTCACATCGTAGCAGGTGCTGCTCTTTCCCTCCGTTCCCATCGCTTCCCCACGGAGATGCTGCCAGGGCTGGAGCCCCTCTGCTCTGGAGCCAGCCTGGCCCAGCTGGGGCTGTTCCCTGCACAAGAGAAGGCTCCAGGGACACCTCAGAGCCCCTGCCAGGGCCTCCAGGGGCTCCAGGAGAGCTGCACAGGGACTGGGGACAAGGCCTGCAGGGACAGCACACAGGCAATGGCTGCCACTGCCACAGGGCAGGCACAGATTTGGGGATCTTGGGCAGGAATTGCTGGCTGGCAGGGTGGGCAGGCCCTGGCACAGGGTGCCCAGAGCAGCTGTGGCTGCCCCTGGATCCCTGGCAGTGCCCAAGGCCAGGCTGGACGGGGCTTGGAGCAGCCTGGGACAGGGGAAGGTGTCCCTGCCATGGCCAGGGATGGGGCTGGATGAGCTTTGAGGTCTCTTCCCACCCAAACCACTCTGAGATTCTCTGTCAGCCTCTACTGCCAAAACGATCTCTCCTGTTTGTTGTGGTCTAACTCCCACCCTCTCAAGCCTGGCCTGTCTCTTACAAACCCATCACAAGCCATGTTAGAGCCTCCCCAGACAGCAGCACGACCCAGCCCTTCCATCTCCTTGAAACCACCTGGTGGCTTAGGGACCTTTTGGGGACCTTTCCCCCAGACCTGATGTTGTGGCTCCCCAGCAGAGGTGAGCCATAGAGTGTGAGGCTTGGTTTCCCTCTGTCCTGCCCCACGAGTCCAGGGGACAAGGCTGGTGGCCAGCAGAGCTGGGGTGGGTCACAGAGGGCCACAGCCATGCAGGCAGAGCTGCTGGCAGCCCTGCAGAGCACTATGGACCGGCATGGGGGAGGATTTCCTGCTTGTGAGGTCAGGGTAGGTCATGTTAAGGTGGGTTTTGGAGGCAAGCCCTTGCTAAACCACCACTCAAAATTCTGTGACAAAAGGAGTTGGAGGAGATGTGCAGGGTGGGAGAGGAAACAAACAGGGAACAATGAGAAGAGCAGGGGAGGGAGAGCTCAGGGCTGAGTGACCAGTCAGGTTTTGTGATGGGTATAAATTAACTGGGATCATATCTCTTGGATCTAAACAGAGGGCTCAGTGGAAAATGAAACTTGATTCTCCCCTTCGATGAATCTGAGATAACTCCATCAAGAGAATAATTTTAGGTGCTGGTGTGACACCTCGGAGAGGAGCAAGTCTCCTTTCTCACACATCAGGGAAGAAAGCAAGATTTGTGTCACCTCTGAAAAGCCTTTTCCCCTCTGCCTTGCTGATTAGAGTTAATTGATCAAGTTCAGGTGAATCTAGGCCACAATCTTGTTTGGTTCTTAAATGCCCATTAATTGCACCGAAGTAATTTAAATTTAATTAGAGTTTGGTAGGGTGTGGTGCTTGTTCTGCTTTTTAATTCCTTGTTTGAGGCCTTTGCTGGTGACAGGTTGGCGCCACGGTGGCACCAGGCTGGTGGGACTCTGGGATGGGGTTTGCTGTGGCACTGGAGTCACAGACCATTTTTGGGCTCCCCTGCACGGGGAGATGGACCTGGAGCCTTGGGGTGCTGGCAAGTGAGCAACCAGAGCTAAAACCAGTTAAAGCTGAATCTGGTGATCCTAAAGGCAGCACGGAATTAATGTGTTTTGCAGGACAGAATTAGTTTCCCTGGTCTGATCCTGATTTCCCTGGCAGGCCAGCTGTGCTCGCTCCACCACGTGCAGGTTTGGGGAGGAACAAGCACGTGAGAGGCAGCATTTGTTTGTGCTGCTGGCAAGGCTTCCTCCCGTGCCTCCTGTCCCACTCCACGCAGCAAATTTATGGTCTTTACCCCAAAACAAATCAGCATGGGGGGTTTGAGTGGAATTTTTGTCATTCATAGGCCTAAACAAACAAGTGAAGGTTGAGAGGAAGGGATGCTTCTGGATGCAGAGCAGCTTCCCTCTACCCTTCCTAGTGGGTAGAAGAGAAACTCGGGCATAACTGATACTGAAAAATGTTAAATGTTTGCATAGTTTTTTAATGCTTGGAAAAATTTTCAAGAAAATCCTCAGACTGTAACTTGCCAGGCCAGTCTGCCATCTTAAAAGCTGATTATGTGCAAATTTGATTAGAGCAGGTCTTCTAAAGTATTCAGGCGATGTTTAAGATAATGAAGTTTTGTTCCTTAATTCAATTTTGTCTCCCATCTGGAAGAAATTAAAAATGCAAGCCATGCATCATTTCATTCCTTACGAATATCTCATGCCCTGCTTTACTGTCCCTGCCTGTCTGGGCTGTGAGTGTAGCTGGGCTGGGGGTGACGGGTCCCCTCTCCTGGTCCTCTGCTGTCCTGGCTGTGTCCTGGTGTGTCCCCTCCCTGTGTCACCACCCAGACCATGGTCCTGCTGAGGTCCTGCCCTGCTTCCTGTTCTCTCTCTCTCTCAGTGAAATAATCTTTGGGAGGTGAATCCACTGCGCATTCCCTGCTGGTCCTGCCTTATACGAGCACGTGGTAAATGGTAATTTCTTCACCAAAGAGCTTGTGATCAATAACGGATTAAAATGAGTTCAAGAGTTGCTAACACCTGTCAGGATTAGAACTTGGGTTATACAAACAATTTTTAATTATTTTAGGGAAACATCCTTTAAAGGATATATTCTCTCTGAAAATAAAACTTTTTAAAGTTTGGAATTGTAAAAACTTGAACCTGTAATCCCCAATTCAGTGGAGTTTTTGGCCATTTTAATTCCACATTTTGTTGTAGCAGAGTTTCAATATGCTGACAGACACAGTTTCTCCCCCGTGCTGTCCAGGCCAGAGGTTTCATTGGAGAGCTCCAGAGGATCTCAGTGAGGATTTTGTGGCTGCACCTACCCAGGCTGTCCCATCCTGGCTGGCATTTGCGCCAGTGCCGGGTCCACAGGTCACAGCTAAAATCACTGCTGGCATTTCTGCTCTGCCGGGAGGATCCCTGCGTTCCCTCACTCAGTGCTCTCAGCATTCCAAGCCCTTCCTGCCTTTTCCTCCTGGCTACCGCAAGGCGGTTTTGGGCTGTTACTTCCCGGTGTTAAAAGGAGTCTCACGCTGCCAGGGCTTCCCTGTGGCAGCAGGGAGCCCTGGGAGTGTCGGGGGGCTCTGCTGGCCTGCGAGGTGCCTGAGTGCTGCCTTTGCCTCGGCAGGTGCTGCGGAGGAGCGAGGATGCTGTCCCGACTGCGCGCGGCCTGGGCGCCCTGCGCGGCGGCGCGGCGCGGCCTGCACACCAAGGAGAAGGGCAAGCCGCTCATGCTGAACCCGCGCACCAACAAGGTGGGTGTGAGTCCTGTCCGTCTGTCTGTCTGCCTCTGCTGAGAGGCCCGTGCACCGTGTCCCGTGCTGGGGCGCAGCCGGAGCGGGGCGGCGAGGCAGGGAGCGGTTCCTGACCCGCAGAGCGAGCGCTGCTCCGGCCGGTGCTGCCCTGGGCACAGAGGGGCTGCTGGCACTGCCTCGCCCTGCTGAGCTGGGGACAGCTTGGGAGAGGTCTCTTTCAACCTCATGATTCTGTGATTCTGTAACCATAGGAGGTGTTAGCCTCTCTATACTAGCCCTGGCCCTTTCCTGGGACACTGAGACTTGGGGCTGAGCCACATCACCTAAGAAACATCCCTCTGCAGAGTCTGAAAGAGCATCTAAAAATAACCTTTGGTGGGAGCTAATTGGGAGGTACAGATATCATGTTAATTCCATGCTTTGAGGTAGACTTATAAGAAAGAAGCATTTTGTTCCCTTCACTAAACTGTTCCTGTTTCCACAAGCCCATCCTCAACCTCTTTTTTTTTTTTTTATCCCACTGGAGCTGTGGTGGCCTTCAGGAATCTTGCAGCCATTAATGTGTAAATTAAAACTGGTAAGAAATCAGATGAGGGCTTTTGGTGACTGATCCAAGATGTCTGAAGTGGTCAAGAAAGGTGGCACATCTGCCTGTCTCTGACAGGGCATTTCCTGGGCTGTGGGGCTGGGTTATTTCACCCTTCCCTTTCTGCCCCGGACAGTAGAGTGCAAGGTGCATCCATCCTGCCCGAATCCAGGCTGCCTAAAGGGAGGGAGAGAGAACTGTGGAAGGTAGAGACTGGCTGACTGCAAACTGAAGTTGAGATTGCTGTGTCAGGGAAGGAGAAAAGAGTAGATTGGTGTGATTTGTCAAGATCAGATGGTCTCGAGACTTTCTGAGCTCTGAAGACTTTGACATGCCATGGAAATTACTTCAAGCCCTGTAAGCTTTTCTAAATGCTGATTATGCAATTGTATTCTGAAACAAGAACAATAGGTCATTTCTTACTGTTTTTCTGGTGGTAATATCCTTCCATTTTTTTTAACCCTGGAATTCCCAGCTGGACTGAGCGCAATGCAATTGTTTTTCTTGAGGAGTAGAAGGCAGTAGGGAGCTTCTGGTTAATGGCAATTGATTTTTTGAATGCCTCCAAGAAGTTACACTGGTGAGAGGGAACCCCATTCTGCATTAGTTTGTCTCTGCTGTGTCAGCCTGTCCTTCCTGCTGACGCCTGTTGGAATGGATCAGAAAGCTCACTGAGTGATACTGCTGGATGCAGTATCTGTATGGAAATGCATTTTGGATATTCAGCAAAGACATAAATTATTTATTAAACACACCGAGTACTTTACCCCTTGTGGATAGATATAGATATATATTATCTACATACAGAAACAGATAAAGGGTGTTATTTCTTGCTGTCAGCTTGTTGAGGTTATCATGTTTTACTTGATTACATTTAATTTTTACATCTTCTATCAACTCTGCAGAACATCTGGTCTCCCCTAAGGCACGTGTCCCTGTAACAAGAGCTGCAGAAGGACAGCATCAGGGGCAGGAGCCAGCCCTCACCCTTGTGCAAACTAATCTGTTGCTCTTTGCCACTGGAGTAGGTTTTTCTCTTCCAATTGTTTTTCTTTTCTTGCCCACCCTCAGCTGTGTCATTTGCAGGCTGTGCAAATGTCACAAACGTCACCTGGTTGCAGGTGGACAGCACCAGCTGGTTTGGGTTTTGGTGTTTGGAGGGCAGATTTGAGGTGTTCATTGTCAGGGGCAGTGGGCTCTCTGTGCTGCAGCCAGCAGCTGCAGAGCCTGCTGCGGCTGCCGTGGCATGGTGCTGCGGCTGCTGTGGTGTGCTGCTGCGACGGCTGAGGCATGCTGCTGCGGCTGCTGTGGCATGGTGCTGTGAGTGCTATGGCATGCTGCTGCGGCTGCTGTGGCATGGTGCTGTGAGTGCTATGGCATGCTGCTGCGGCTGCTGTGGCATGGTGCTGCGAGTGCTGTGGCATGCTGCTGTGAGTGCTGTGGCATGCTGCTGCGGCTGCTGTGGCATGGTGCTGTGAGTGCTGTGGCATGGTGCTGTGAGTGCTGTGGCATGCTGCTGCGGCTGCTGTGGCATGCTGCTCTGCTCCAAGCCCCCTGTGCTGTGACCCCTGCTCCTGACGGGGCTGCCCCTGCAGTCACTTGGCTCCAGGACCTTCTGTCCTGCTGGAGGTCCCTGCCGTGCCAGGCAGCATTTTCAGCTTGCTTAGAACGCTGTTGGGACAAACTCCGTGGTTTAGTGCTGGCAATTAAATCGTTACTGATATGGTGCAGTGCTTCAGATGGGGCAGGGTTTGTTCTTCCAGCACAGAGCAGGTGATGCAGGGGACAAGATCCCTGACTGGCGATGTCTGTTCTGCCACGTGGGGTGCCATCAGAGTGTTCTTGTCTCCACTGGAAATACATGACCTGTAATGTAATCTGTGTGTTTGTTTTCTGTGGCTTGCAGAAAATTTGTGACTGAATAGTTGGCGACACTTGCTGTACTTCAGTTGGTTATTTTAGTTGGTTATTTTGGTGTTCCTGTGAAGAAGGGTGTGATGGTGTTTTATACTGTGGGTTCCATTACCCCGTTTTCCTTAACTCTGTTCCTCAGGATTGTTAGGTTATCACAGAATCCCAGAATCCCTGAGGCTGGAAAAGCCCTCCCAGCCATCGAGTGCAGCCTGTCACCCGATCCGCACCTTGTCACCCAGCCCAGAGCTCTCGGTGCCACGTCCGGGCCTCCTTGGACACCTCCAGGGAGGGGGACTCCAGCTCCTCCCTGGGCAGTTCCAATTCCTGACCTCCCTTTCCATGGGGAAATCCCTTCTGATGTCCAAAAACTCCTCCTGCACTGACAGTGCCTCTCAAAATTTTGGTTTCAGTGGTATCTTTAGGATTTATATATGCACATATTTGTGTGCATGTATCTGCCTGGAAATGGCAATAGTTATGTGCATGGAAATCCATGATAAATGTTAAAGAAACATTCAGTGGTGGCAGGATAATAATCCCAGATTGATCCTGAGGAATTTTACCAGTGTCTTATCTTTCATACAGGTCATCTTCTCATATGTTATATTTTGCTCACAGATTCATCTGTGTTCATTCACAGCTTTTTCAGCCCAATTTATATTCATGCATGGCTTCCAGAATACTTCCAGAAACTGATAAATTTACCTTTGCATAAAGAGATGATTTTCTTAGCGAACTTGTACATGACCTCACTGACTTGTGGGAAATACCCTAACAGTATTATTTCCAATTCAGAATAAAAAAATAAACAGAAAAAAACCAACCAAAGTCAAAGCTATTTTGACAAAATAAAAGGGATAGCACAAGAGAGTGTAAAGAAAGGATTGTATGAGCTTGAAGATGTAAAAGCAGATGCTCCCTTCCACTGCCCTCTCTCACCATGCTGGTTTTGACACATTTCATTTACTTTAATACATTTTAGATTTAGACTTAGCCAGCTGTTGGGCTATCACAGAGCAGCCAAGGCATGGAATACACAGTGCCCCTGTGCCTTCCTGGGGAAGCCAGGATAAACAGGATGTGGGGAGGGAATGCACATGGTGATCGTTGCTAAGAAGTGCAGTGCTCTAAGCGTTGCTATCAGTTTGTGATCAGTCAGGAGGAAGGACCCCAGAGGGCAGGAGAATGACAGAAACTGTGCACACACCCCGGCCCAGAAGTCCCTCCACAGGTCTGTGTCCTGCCCAGGTGGTTGGAGGGGTTCCTGGATGGTTTGGCATGGCCCCCGCACCTGCAGGTTTTACCAGCTTCCCTGAGATCTGCGTGCTTCCAGGAGGAATTACCTGTGGGCACATGGAGCTGTTTAATCTGTAACCAGGTGCCAAAGGTGGCGGGAGGGTATCAAACCTCATTACCTTGGACCAGGTGTTCTGCTCAGCACCTCTGGGCTGGGGGTGGCGATGGAGGAAGGGCACTGCTGAGGGATCAATGCCGTTCAGGGGAGCAGGAGCAGCTGCATCTGCTCGGCTGGAAAAATAGCAGTTTAAAGAGATGTCCCCGGGGCATTCAGGGATTCTCATGACTTGCAGTGTGCAGCTCTGCCGTGGTGTCCGTGGAAAATTTACCCGGGAGAGCCTGGCCACTTCCTTGGCAGGGAGTGGAGGCTTTCTGCTCCTGCTTTTCCCCTCTTGTGCAGGGGAGTGCTCCCAGCTGCCCACGTCAGCTGTGGGCTGGCTGAGCCTGGGTCACCAGCTCAGTTTGGAGTGGTGGGATGTTCCACCTTGCAGAGGGGTCCAGGGGCTGGTGGCACCTTTGCCTGCAGAGCGGGAGTGTAAAAAGGCTTGGAGATCCCATGGGGATCCGGGCTGTGTCACAGTGCATTGCCCTGCTGTGTCTGCCACACCCACCAGGGTACAGACTGCTGCTCTGGGAGAATAAAGGGAGAGAATCCAGTTTAAAAATGGAGGGAAAAAATCAGGAGAGATTTTCTGTTCTCATAAACTTTTATTCTCTGGTGGAGATAGCAAAGATACCTTTGATTCTTATGAATGAACTTTATTAATTTGCAGTGGCGGCATCTTGTGCAATAGTGAACTTTGTGTTTAGCCCATGGGAGCAAAGTCAAGAGAAGCAGCCCACAATCCAACATAAAAGCTGCTTTGTTTTCAAGGTGTTTATGATGCTGCTTCAAAGGCTGTGCTCCCTGCTGAATCTGTTCTGACAATTACTGGGAGTTACAAGGAAACCATTTTTTAAATCTCATGAGTAACTAATTTTCCAAACGGTGGCATGTTTGGATAAATTGTATGTACATCTTTGTCAGGAGCCCTGGGTGGGGTTTTTGCTGTGTGTGAGAGCATTTATGGTTGGTTAAGAGATACACTCTCAGATATGTGGCTGCAAGACTGCAGGTGGGGAAGACTTATCTCCACTACTACTTTCTCTGCTTGGAAACCTCTCAGAATTACTTACTCAGTGGTGCTATAAAAATCCTGCTTGCAGCATCCAGGCTGCTCCACGCAAGGCACGCAGCTAGAATTTGTGTGTGCTGGTATTTATAGCAGCACGGGCTTTGTGTGATGGAGCTGCTGCGAAGTCCCAGCGCCAGTTTGTGGGTTGAAGTTCATGGTGGTTCAGTGTGAGCTTGTCTTAACTAAAATAGCATCAACATTTCACTCCAGTAGCATTTTTCATTCCCCCTCCCAGCAGAAGGTTGGTTTTGTGGCAGTGAATTTGTCCGTGGAGTGTTAATTAATTAATCTGTGGGCTTTGAGATGTGCTGGGTTCCCTCCTGGATGCGCTTCCTGCTTTGTCTGTGCTGGCCTGGAGACGACCCCTGCTTGTTCTGAGCTGAGAAGAGGATTAAGGAGGCTGATGGCAGTGAAAGTGAGCACACAGCACCTGGGGGAAGGAAATCCAGCCTGCACACAGTGATCCTGCTGCTTAGACCCAGACTGCAGGAGTGCTTAAGCACTTAATCCCAGGGAAAGCTGGGGGCAGTTTGGGCCTTAGGTGGGGGTTCTTCCCTTCCTTTGGGCAATTGATGCTGGCTGCGTGGGCCGAGTGAGTGTCAACTGATGTCCTGGGGTTGGCTGTGTCCCCTGATGTGGGGCTGGCTGTGCCCCCTGATGTCCCAGGGCTGGCTGTGCCCCCTGATCTGGGTCTGGCTGTGTCCCCTGCTGTCCCAGGAGTGGCTGTGCCCCCTGATCTGGGGCTGGCTGTGCCCCCTGATCTGGGGCTGGCTGTGCCCCCTGATCTGGGGCTGGCTGTGCGCCCTGATGTCCCAGGGCTGGCTGTGTCCCCTGCTGTCCCAGGAGTGGCTGTGCCCCCTGATCTCCCAGGGCTGGCTGTCCCCGCTGATGGGCCGGGTGAGGCTGTTGCCCCTGATCT